CTGATGGCTTTGCAGTCCTGTCCCACCTGATATCAATGATTATTGGCTTGCTTGGTGTCCGTTTCAGTCGCATACGATGGCATAAGAGCAACACATATGGCTTTCTGCGGGCTGATGTTGTAGGAGCCTTTGGCAATTCTGTCTTTGCCACTGCCTTGATGTTCAGCATCCTGATTGAAGCTGTGAAGAGGTTTCTCAACCCAGTAAAGACAGAACAAGCTCTGTATGTTCTCATTGTCGGAGTCGTAGGTCTGCTCTTCAATGTGTTCAGTTATGTTATCTTTATGGACTGTTGTTACTGTCGTGGCTCTGTAGACCAAGATGTGGAAACCGGTAAGCAACATAATAATGCCATGTCCTTTCCATAACCAATACTTAGAAGCAAAGATTGATATTTCCCTTCATTCATCAAAGATTGATAATTGATTTTTGAAACTCAAAATGAGTTTCTGTCAAGAGATATGCAGTAAGTCTGTATTTAGTTTTATAGTATAGTATAGTTTTGTATAGTTTTAAATAGGATATGTTTGTTATAATTGTATCTACTTCCACTTAAAATCTCCAACTATGTATTAAGGATACGCAACTCTTGAGTTGAAGGCTGCATTTGCCTTTTGAGCATGCTATAGGAATGCATAGGATATCACCTGGCCTGGACAAATAATGTTTGATTTTATCGAGTTTAGTAAGTTTAGTAAACTGTTTAGGTTTTTCATTCTACATGTTTCTGGTCATATTAAAATTTTTAATTTGGAAGTCCTCTTTTGGGCAAGATTCAGTAGGTCAGTCGCATGCAAGGTTGGGCTGGATGAACACTTGAGTCAATAGATTAAGCACCTATTAAGGTTCATGATTGTGAGCATGTTTCAAATTTTGATGAGAACCAGTTTGATGTAGTGGTTAAGGCATCAGGCTAGACACTGTGAGTTCTAGTCCCACCTTTAGGCACAAAGTTAGATGAATAACCTTGGGCCATTCACTTTTTCTCAGCCCTGGGAAGGAGGCAATAGCAACCCACTTCTGGAAAATACTTGTCAAGAAAATTGCAGGTATTTTTCCAGGCAGTATCTGAGAATCATACACAATTGAAAAAAAGAAAATTCTGAAGCAATTAATAATTATTCAATTATCTCCCTTTGTAAGCATAAGGTATGGATGGCAGCTAACAAATTATATACAGGAATAAACTCTGATATAAGATAATTGTATGAAGCATGAACTTCATTAATGAGATAGTTCAAATTGATAAAGAACTGGGATGAATCTATTTAACCTGGCTTCAGATCCTACTGTGCAACACATAAAGAGAAGATAAAAAGTGTAAATTACGTTGTAATATCTCCTGTACCTTGTGTGAGATCCAATGCTAATATCTAAGAACCTGTACTAAACTGTTAAAAGCTTAATTATTAGGAAAGATGAAGTTCCACAGTTACTTTATGGATCTAGTACTCAAAAGAAAAAGCATGGCATCTATTCTACCAACACAAAACTTACCAATTGCATTCTGAAACTATAACACTGCTGTGTCCAGCAGTGCAATGAGATCCGCTGGAGCCATTCACAGAATATTAAAACATTCTTTATTCTTTCTTTTTTAGAGTACTTTGCTAATGATAGTCCAGTGATGATTCCTATTCCGACTATATGTAAGTCTTCAAAATATTTTAATTCATTTATAGAAAACATATTAAAAATAACTATTGCTATAGGAATGTGTGTATGTGAGCGAGACCGTGATTCATTAAATGCTATCCTTTGCTTTTTTTTGAGGATGGAAAAGAAAAACAAATATCACTGTTCCTAGAAACTAAATTACTTACCTTGCAACTTGGAGGTGGATATTACGGGTTTGGGAGAAATTTCCTTCAGAAATATTGAAATCCAATTCCTTTTTTAAAAATCGGCATCTCCTGCAGTTAGCAGAAGCTGTTACATCAAATTTCATTTATATTTTTATATAATATGTATTTAGTATAAAACCAGGGGTGAAATCCAGCAGGTACTGACAGGTTCTGGAGAACCGGTAGCAGAAATGTTGAGTAGTTCGGAGAACCGGCAAGTACCACCTCTGGCTGGCTCCAGAGTGGGGTGGGAATGGAGATTTTGCAGTATCCTTCCCCTGCCACAGCCACCAAGCCACACCATGCACACCAAGCCACACCCACAGAACCAGTAGTAAAAAAAAATGGATTTCACCACTATATAAAACAATACTTTTCTTCCAAGTCCTCAAAACCCTTCAGATAAGGTGCTAGGCAAAGAAACTATACCAGTGGATATGTCTATTTCAAGCCTATATATTTCCCCAAAGATACACATTTTTGTTTTTAACTATTCTTGTGAATCATTCTACTGCAGACAAGGCAGGTTACAAAGCTGGTAAGCAAAACAAAACTAAATAGAACTACACAGTTGGACGTTATGCATTGAGTTTCATAGGGAGGAATAATTTCTGACTGCTAATTTGTTATTAACTAAATATGTTCTCTAGATTTATTCTGTTCAGCGTTCCTAAGTAGAAGCTGAGGAAGCAGATTTTAGTACGCAACAAACTCTTTGCACTCACTGACTTTTTGTACTCCCTGACTTGTCTGCACCCTGTGACATTAGTGATAATTCTGCAATCTAGTGAGGTCCAAGGGCATATGATATCCCTTTCTAGCAGTAAAGAATTTGGTGATTGTATAAATGTCAATTAGACAAGACTTGCAAGTTAACTATACTCAATAAGTTATTGTGGGTAAAAGAACAGGCAACTTTACATAGTTATTCTTTGGGACCAAGGTTCACATATTTTGGGCATACAGGAAAAAGATTTCAAATGACAAAATGTTTTCAACTACACGGTTCCCTTTCCTGGAAAGCAGGATTTGATATCCTTCAAATAAGAGACTTTTATAGTCTCTTATCAGGAAAGAACTTTTTTTTTTCTGTAGAGGGTTTAATGAAAGACCATAGCCAATGATAACACTCTTCTTTTTTTCTGATTTGGGTCATACATTATATTAAATTATAATATGGTTTGCTTGGCCATGGCTTTTTATTGTCTGAATCCAACCTTCATGTATTCAATAATCCTCAATTAAACAAACTACAGTTTAGTGAGATGTGTGAATCCAGTAGGAAAAAGTAAAATATCTCTGCCTTCTGGATGGAATTTTCTTGCTTCTTCTATTCTTGCCAGATAGCTGCTAAGAAAGAGACAGATTACTCTAGAGCCTTTTTCAGAAATCTTTTGAAATCAGACCAATCTGATATTAGATGAAGGCTCCGCAGTGTTTTACATAGTGCAGCCTATTTGATTCCTGTAACAACTTACACATGTATATCATAGATTTTCTTCTGAATGCTTCCATCATCTGCTGGAGCATGAATAAAACCAGAGATAATGCTTCCATAAGGGACGTGGTGGCTCAGTGGCTAAGATGCTGAGCTTGTTGATCGAAAGGTCAGCAGTTCAGCGGTTCGAATCCCTAGTGCTGCGTAATGGGGTGAGCTCCTGTTACTTGTCCCAGCTTCTGCCAACCTAGCAGTTCAAAAGTACGTAAAACATGCAAGTAGAAAAATAGGGACCACCTTTGGTGGGAAGGTAACAGTGTTCCGTGTGCCTTTGGCGTTTCGGCTTTGAAACGGAGATGAGCACCGCCCCCTAGAGTCGGGAACGACTAGCACATATGTGCGAGGGGAACCTTTACCTTTAATGCTTCCATCCAATTCTATCTCTTTGAGGGAGATAGACATTTCAGAAATGGAAATAGAAATAAAATGAATAAAATATTCCATCTCTACTTGTGAAATTGCATCTTTTTCATGTTTCATTCTGTTACACCTTGGTGCAACAGAAAAAAAATACTTGGTTCCTACTAAGATTTTAGTCCATTTGTAGAACAGTAAAAATAGTAGTAGTAGTGGGGGAGTTGACTGAAGGATTTAGTGAAAAAAAAAATGTCCACCCCGTTTTTTCAACTGAAGTTTCTGCTTGATTGCAGTCTTTTCTAAATGCTAAATAGAAAGTGCAAGAGTGCCCTCTAGTTTCACAAAATCATAGAGCTGAACAAGGTTGTTTAGCCTATCAGCTGGAACTCCAGTGCAGGAATCCAAATGAAAGTTTATATATTTATTTATTAAATTTATATGCCACCCATCCCACTATTGAAGTGATTCTGGACAGCTTACAGAATGATAAAAAGATGATATGAAACAATTAAAATTAAGAAAGATTAATTAGAGACTAAAACCCAAGAGGACAGGTGACAGGAGCGTGAGGATATTCTCTCTACCCCATCAGCCACCCGTAGCAGAGAATACTCCCAATGGAGCCCCAGACCAGTTGGCAGAACCAAGTTTTAAGGCTCTTCCAAAAGGCCTGGCGAGTAGGGGTGGACCTCATCTCCAGCAGAATATTCCAGAGAGCAGTGGCCACAGCAGAAAATGCCTTCTCTTGGACCCCGCCAGTTAAAATTCTTTGACAGACCAAAGTCAGCCTTTTCTGCTGGATGGGCCAATCCCACTGGGGCAAGATGGCTCCTCAGATACCCTGGACCCTTTCATAAAAGGCTTTAAAGGTAATAACCAGCACCTTGAATTGGACCCAGAAGCAAATGCAACCAGTGCAGCTCGCCTAGCAGCTGTTTTACATGAGTCATTCAAGGGACCTCCAGAAATATCCCCACCATTGTGTTCTGTACCAATTAATAGGTTGGTAGGAGAGAGAGAGAGGAAAAAAAAAAACCTGAATTAGAGATGGACAAGGTATATCAAATAAACTGCTTTGATTGACTGGTCCAGAAGATTTGACAATACCTAGTATTTACTAAATGTGTCCAGACCACACCTGCAAATTACCCCGACATCTGGCAATAAGGGCGTTCCCCGCCCCGTTATAAAGCAAAACGCAGAGTCACCATCGCCCGGACACTTGTCGCCAGTACCCTCCGCTCTCAGGAGAGGAAGGAAGGAGGCAGCTCACAGCCCGGCCAGGGACGGGTGCTGGAAGAAATTTAAGACGGTAGCGAAGAGCGGCGGTTCCAGCTCTCCTCATGGGGCGCTACACGGGCAAGACGTGCCGTCTGATCTTCATGCTAGTAATGACAGCGAGCTTTTTCGTGACCGAGCTGGTGTCGGGCTACGTGGGCAACTCGATCGCGCTGGTCTCCGACTCCTTCACCATGCTCTCCGACGTGCTCGCTCTGTGCGTGGGCATCGTCACAGGACGCCTGTCTCACCAACGCCGACGCCGTCCCGGCGCCTCTTACGGCTCCGGACGGGCCGAGGTGGTGGGCGCCCTCTGCAACGCCGTCTTCCTGGCCGCCCTCTATTTCACCATCCTGATGGAAGCGCTGCAGCGCCTGGCGAAGCCCGAGGCCCTCAGCAACGCCACGCTCATCCTCGTGGTAGGCACGATCGGCCTGGCCATCAACGTCGTGGGACTCCTCGTCTTCCAGGACTGGGCCTGCTGCTGCGGTCGACGGTCGCCGCCCCCGCCCTATCTTAGCTCCGAGGACGAGAGCCCAAGCCGAACCGTCGCTAGCAGCTCGATCGCCTTAAAGGGGATGGTGGAAATGAGCGGCAGCGCCGCTGAGCCCCGCCCGAAAGCAGGTGCCACCCGGTTGCCTCCCTGCTCGTCGTTCGCAGCATCTTCCCGCATTCCTTCCTTCCTTCCTTTTCTTTCATCTGCCTTTTTCCTTCTCTCTCAGGTCTCCCCCAGTTCTGCCTTCTCTAATTAGTTTCACCAATTTCTCTTCGCCTTTTAAGGATTTTTTAGGTCATAATTTTTATACTTCCTTTCTTATTTCCCATTTTCTTTTGGAAAGTGTTGTGTTGCATGTGCTTCTTTCTGCTAATTCTTATTCATTCTTTTCTGATTATTCTATTTGCCTGTTCTTATTTATAACTCTCATTCCTACTCACATTACATTACATTACATGTATAATAATGTACTGGCAGAGTACTTGTATAATAATTTATTACTGAATAAAGCCAGAGAAATAATTGTATTTGTAACATTGGAGTAATTAAAGCAAACGGAAGCAATCTTTGTGTCAGTGTTTGTTTTAGCAGTCTTTTGATACTATAAATCATTTTTTCTAAACTACAATTGTAGAAAAGAGATGTCAGAATTACTGGTAATTAGATGTCAGGTTGTATAAGGTGGTCTTTATGAATATTAAACAATTCCATTCAGTTTCGCCCCATTGCTTGGTTGGCTTGTAATTATATTACACTTTGCATGTAGAGTGTATGCAAGCGTGAGTCATAAGTAACTTGCTAATTCTGAATGATTAAGATAAGTTGGTTTTGAAAAGATTTGTATCTTTCTGTATATAGAACTTATAAACAACACAGCGTTTCTTCTTTGAATGCAGGTGATTCTGCGGATACCCAGAAAAAACCTGAAGAGGATAAGAAACAGAAAACAGAAAAAAAGTCCGAAGCCTTGAACATCAGAGGTACTATATTAGAGTTGAAAGATTTTTCCAGAATAAGGCAGCCATAATTAGAGATGAGGTGTTCTTATTTATTGTTGCTCTCTATACAAGTTTATACAAATTTTTGGAATCTTAATGTATTCCAATATAGTTACTCAGTTTTTTTCTGGTTACCTAATATTTTCCTTATGCTTTGTTTCAGGTGTTCTTTTGCATGTGATGGGAGATGCTCTTGGCTCAGTTATTGTTGTAGTTGCTGCTTCCATATTCTACATACTTCCTCTGGATGAGAACACACCTTGTAACTGGCAGTGTTACATTGATCCAAGCCTGACCATTGTTATGGTGTTTATCATACTGTCTTCAGCCTTTCCACTTATCAAGGAGACGGCAACCATTTTGTTGCAAATGGTCCCCCAAAATGTGAATATGCAAATATTGGGTAAGTTGTTTTAAGGACTGTTATGACCCTTAAAAGCTGGTGCTGTTTCTGGATTATACATTCACTGCAGCATTACATGCTCAAGGGTCACACGGTGATATTTCCTAGCAACACGAGTCAAGTCTTAGAAGATTAATAAAGGCACATACAGTATTTTGAGAACAGCCCACATAGGAAGAATGAAGCTGTTGTTTGCAGAAATTCCTATACAACTTGTAGAATGGTTTATTGTTTTGCATTGTAGATTACAATCAAAAAGGTGTGCGTGTGCATGTATGTATGTATGTATATATATGTATGTTATGGTTGATTTGTTTTTGAATTCATTCTTCTGAACCTGGAAATTTGGAATCAGATTTGCTTGCTGAATCAATCCACATTTTGTATGAAATATATCAATATGTGGAACGTGCATTCTTCAGTTTTTTAAAAGATATACTCCAAAGCAACACTAAAATAAAACATTCAAACATACGACAAACATACTACAAATTGATACTGTTTTTTCCCAGTTTTACTGGATCATATGATCTTGTGATTTAGTTCATCCTGGTGCTCTCCAGTTCCCATTCAGCTCCCAGAATTCTCAAACCACCTGCAGGATATTAGGAAGTAGAAGTTGACTTTCTTTTGTTTCTTCCAATGTAATTATTAAAATCGGCAGGAGGAATTTCAACAGGTTCCATTCAACAGTCTCAGTCTCCTTATTTCTTAGATATGGACTCATTGATTCAGCTGGGGCTGCTTTCTGTTGTATCAGCCCTACACTATTGTACAGCCTGGAAAAGTTATGATCAGGTTCTTATTCCGTCCATTCGAATAGGCATTCTTTGTGTTTGTAGATGCAATTAAATATTAAATGGAATACTTTAGAACCTGGATAAAAATCTGATTTTCACCTTTTTTGTATTTCTTCTTCTTCCTAGCAAACAAATTATTGGAAGTGCCAGGCGTTAGCAGCATTCATGAGCTGCATATCTGGGAATTTATCAAGGGGAAGAACATTGCCACAGTCCATGTCAAGTGTCACTCTACTTCTGACTACCCCGTTGCTTCCTACAAAATGAGGGAGGTGTTCCATGAAGAAGGGATCCATTCAGTGACCATCCAACCAGAGTACCTAGACCATGATTGTCCTAAGGTCCTGTGCAGTACGCCATGTATCTCCAGATCCTGTGATCCTCAATTGTGCTGCAACCAGAAAGATGCTCTTCTTTCTCAGATGAATGGTTACAGTGAAACAATAGGCAGCTTTTCTCCATCACTGAAGAAGGTCTTCCAAAAAAAAGATGCCATAGAAATTCCTGTTGAACCTACGTGGGCTGAAGACGTAGTCAAAAAGAACAGTTGCTCCAAGGACAGTTATAAAGAAAAAAGTGAAACAATGCCACAAATAAATAACACTAAATTTTAGACTTTGGGGTAAATATATTCTAAATTCTTTTGTCTCAAAAAAAAGTTGGGGAGCTTCCTTATACAAAGCTTCCTTTGGTTGAAAAAGAAGTAGCTGTTGGCAAGTGTTTGCCATGTTTCTGGAAGGTAGCAGTTGAAAGTTGAATGCCAAGTTGAATACCAAGTACTACAACTAAAACAGATGCCATTGGTTTCTTCTAAGGTCTAGTTGAAATGGGCAGCCATTTTCTTAATGTTGGGCAAATAAGCAATGCCAACCCTATTTGCTACCCTGCTCTGCGAAGAGAAACGGATAAAGCATTTATTCAATGAGTAGAGGTGTCTTCTGCTCAGATCACTCTTCAAACCTTGTCTTAATTGTTAGTGGAGGCATCTTTCAGATGCAAATAGAAATCTCAAGAAGGTTGAGATTTCCGTCTGGTTTAATGTATTAATTAGGATGCAGATTGCAAGCCATACTCCTTTATGATTGTCCTAGCTTATGGCATATCTTTATTTTTCACTGAACTTTGTTTTTCTGTTTACTTGAGATAAATGAAAAGGAGAAAAGTGAGGAAATAGGCCCAGTGGGTGTAGGAATAAAAGAGTTAAATCAGCAAAAGAACCAGTCACCCTTTTGTGCTTCACAAATAAAGAACTATATTCTTAACTGAAATATGAATGGAGATATTCAAAATATTTTATTTTCTCCCCTTACTAGGTCTTTACATTTTCCTCATATTCCAGTAATTATAAAATGCTGAAATATTTTTTAGAAAAAAATTGAAATAATTTATTGAATTATATGCCATGAGAGATAAAATGTGAATTTTTCAATGTGCACTTACGTCATTTGTATTAAATTAGCAAAGAAGTAAAGCTGCGAGAACTAAGGATTTTCATTTGTCTTAGGCAGGGTAGAACATACCTCTGAGTTTGTTTTAATAGAGTAATTCTATGGGTACACTGAGCATTTCCGATATTCTTTCTCTTTTGTAATATGGTGCTATTGAATGTATTTTTTTTAATTATTTTTTTTTAAATTCCTTCAAGCCATTTTTAAAAGAATTTGACTTGCTGGCCTGTTTTAAACCTCAATCCAAATAAATATACATAACTGTAAACCCTTTGAATACCTCCTTTAAGTACTGCCCTTATAGCCATGTAAATGGTTTGAGTGAGGCTGAATGGTGGTTGTCCTTCTGTTATCTTGAGTTTCTTTCATGTTTTCATTTCTTTAAGTTTTTGTTGTTATTTATGTCTGATGTTTTTCGTATTGTGATACGATTTGAATTATTTTGCTTGTACGCTGTCCAGAGCCACTTTTGGTGAGATGGGTGGCTATATAAATTTGCTAAATAAATATAATATAAATATAAAATTGCTAAAAAAATAAAATTGCTAGGAATATCTTACATGATTATTTTAGAAATTTTAGTACGCAGATAAAATCAGAACATAGTGTCTGGCTATCAGACTGTTTAGTCCTGATGAAAGAGGTGGGGATAGAAGAAAATACTAATCCATATAGCTGCCTACACTGAATATAATTCACCCCTATCCAATCAGTACACTGGTCTTCTGGTATTATTATTATGGACAGCAAAATGTAACCCTACTAAACAGATTCTGTGTATGATATCAAAGCTGTATTTATTTTATTTCATGTTTTGTTGAATGTTATTAATTTCACTCTGGGCTTTTGTAAGTTGAGAATTAGTAATTTAGACCCCAAAAAAGTTTTAGTTTCTTTTAATGAAACTATTGGCAAATGAACATTGGGTATCACCCATGAAATTAATGCTGCTGTTTGAAATTAATACTGTTCCATGCAAAATTTAATGGAAAGCAAATTATTGTAAATATTTTTTGGATAGCTCAGCAGACTAATGCATCGTAATCTAACTCCAGCTGTCTGCAATTAGTAAGTTGGAATCTTGCCAGGCTCAAGGTTGACTCAGCCTTCCATCCTTTCTAAGGTAGGTAAATTGAGGACCCAGTTGTGGGGGCAATAAACTGACTTTGTAAAAATATACAAAAGTATGAAGGCTATTGCTTAACGCATTGTAAGCCGCCCTGAGTCTCCGGAGAAGGGCGGCATATAAATCAAATAAAAAAAAAAATTACTGCCTGTGTACTCTATTTTTCTCTCATTTCAGTTAATGTTTGCTGTATTTGCACTTTTGTAGCATAAACTGGGATTATGGGGACCCAGATTGTTGGGAGCAATATGCTGACTCTGTAAACTGCTTAGAGAGGGCTGTAAAGCACTGTGAAGCGGTATATAAATCTAAGTGCTATTGCTGTTAGTATGTGTTCAGTACTAATACTGTTTTTAATTTTGTGTGTGTATGTATGTATGCCTATTTATATTGCCTTAATATAAATAGAAATTTTCTTCTTCTAAAACCTATAATACTTTTTAAAACTATTGCATGAAATATGCCCAAATGGGCAATAATGCTTTGTTGGGGTAGAAGTCATTTATGTTTTTGATTCCAAACGTGTATATAAGTTCTTTTCATAAATATAGATAGTGCTCTTCTGTATTTTAAAGAAATGTATAATACTTATTTGGATTTTTTGAACTGTAATTCTTAATCAGAACATGGAAAATGAGGATAAACAGCAGGACTTGTAAAAATATACAAATAAAAAGGGGCACAACGATAACCGATTTCAATTCTGTATCAGTGAAAAAGGTCATTGCATTTACAAATTCCTCATAATAAAATACAATTTTTTACTACGAATTTCTATGTTTGAGTTTGATCCATGCCAGATGAGACCAAACTGAAATGTAGTATTCTGTTATTTAACCTGTACAAGTTGGGGGCACCCACCAAAATTTGCACTTTCCAGAGAAAAATCCATCTTTTGACTTTTATTATAGCTTTGACCTGATTTTTCTCAACCACTTTACTCTGTGAGTAAATTTGGCTCTGGTGCATCATGTGTTTTGTGCCCATTGCATGTATGCTGCTTTCTCAGTATAAGTAGCCCTTAGAACTGTGTTTTTCTGTAAAATTATTGAACTACACATCTGGCATTTCCATGGCTTTATTGTGCTGATTAGATTTACAACTGCCATTTTATTTACTTGTCACAAGGTTTATTGATTTATTTATTGGCAATGCCTTATATTGTTCAGCAATTAAGACTACTGAAATTTGGATGTGACTCCATTCTTCCACCAACTAAATCATGCATGTTGTATAATTTAAGATTTTTCTCTCTGCTTTTTGGTGGAGTTCCTGATGGCCTTGATACATCTATGATATCAGGAGAGGTACAGGATTTGATTATTGTGAGAAATTGGAAGATCAAAAACCTATAAAAATCTTAACTAGAATATTACAAAGACTCCTGCAAATGTAATGACTTTTATGAATGTTTAGTATGTTTCATTACCAGATTATGGCTTTAGAATATAACATTCATGAATTGTATATTTATGATGAAGCATCATCTTTGGAATGTATGAAGTTTATGTTATGACTTCCTCTGAAGTCACTTTTTACCTTCCATCAGGACAGCACAAAAACCCTTTGAAACTGAAATTTGTTTGGAAGTTTGAAATTTTAATTCTGACAATAATTTCTATGGGTTTTCAAGTACCAACCAATTGTTCTTGTGTTTGTGCACTTTATTTGTTGAAAATGACATAAAAATGCAATATATAACACTAATGTTATAAAAGTTTTATATAAATAAAATGTTTTATGTGCACAACTAGTTTTGCTATCTATTAAACAAATTATTTTTAGAAATATCAAGCACTATTACTTTCTTTATATTTTGTCCTCTCATTTATAACTGAAAACACACTTTTTGGAGAGTATTTTAGGAGGATATGTACACCATTTTACATGATATAAAAAGAGCTTTGTACCCTAGTGTATTTATTACATTTCTAGCAAAATGAGCCCTATTCCCTCATAAATTTACTTCAGCACCTTCCCATTGGAAAAAATATTCCACAAAGACCTGAGAAGTTAGATATTCCAAAGCCTTGAGTAATTCTGTTGATTTTTCCTTAGGGAAAAAATATACCATTTTGTTCAGGATTTAAAAACAGTACTATTTTTTTAAATAACTGGTATTTTGTAGCATAAGAATCAGACATGATTGAATGGAAGAAAATGCAGACATAATTTTCCAGAGTAGGCTAGGATCATTCAGCCTGCCCTGCTGCTCTACACTGTCTCCCCTCTTCCTCTCTGAACGTCTGGAAGTTCAGCTATTGGCTGAGAACCTGCATCTCCTGAGACCAGGTTCTGGACCTGTTGTGGAAGGTTTTTGGTGCTGGATTTTGACTTTGCTTTAGCTGAGCTGCTTTTCACCAAGAAAGTGTCTCTGCCTGGAGCAAAAGAACGGGCATGCCTGTGAGAGGACAGATGTGGCTTTTTGGCCTTGTATGTTATTCTGCCTCTGTTACACACAAACCTTCTTATGCTACCCTCATCATAACACTAATGTGTTGAGGTAACAGATGGACAATTAAATGAATTATGTGGGGTGCCACAGGGTTCAGCGCTTTCTCATCTGTTTTTTTAACATCTGGCAAAAGGCATTATCTGGCAAAAGTAGGTAGCTTTTGATTTGGGCCCCACTGGTTCCAGGACTATATTATCTTTGGTGATGGGTGATGGTTAGGGTTGCGCTATCCCATACAGACCAGTGCACAATCTGGAGGTCCTCCTAGAGCCACGACTCCTGTTCATCAAACAGATGGCAGTTGTGGCTAGGAGTACCTTTGCACAGCTTTACCTTGTGCCCAGTTGCACTTGTTCCTGAATTGGCAGGCCCTGGTCACAGTCACGTCCTGGTCCCTTCCAGATTGGATTATGACAATGTACTCTACATGGGACTCCCCTTGAAGAGTATTTGGAAGCTTTGGCTAGTAGAGAATGCAGTGACTTGAGCAGTTATATATGCCCTTAGAATAGCACATGTTGCTCTGTGAGCTGTATTGCCTACCAGTTTGCTTCCAGGTACAATTCAAGGATCTAGTGTTTAGCCCTTCATGACACTGGAGTGGGCTACCTAAGGGACTGTATCTCCATGGTTACATCAACCTGCCCCATCTGAAAAAGAAGGCATGCTGCAGATACCATTGTTTAGGGACCTACATTTGGTGGGTCCCAGGAGACCTGGATTTTCTGTGGTGGCATCTGCCTTATGGAACATTCTTCTCTTCAAAATTAAATCAGCTCCGTATCTTTTGATATTCTGACCGGCTGCCTATCCTTGGTTGGAAACCAGACTATTTTTGATGTTGTAAGTCGAAACAACCCTCTTCAGTTTGTATCCCTTATTATTTGAGGACTTTGAGCAGCTCTTGAATCTATAACTATATCGTATTAATAAAGGTGAACTGTATTTCCCATCTAATTAATAGACCAAAACATTCAGATTATTCAGGTTCAGTTGGATAGTTCCTTGGCTAGGCTTCAAAACATTTAGAGACTGTAGCAGCAATGATAAAAATGATGTTTTAATTTTAGTGCCTGTAATACTATTTCACGTAGTAAAAGTTTTCTAGATTATACAGCTTTGAACTCATGGTATACAATATAACTATAACTTTGTTTGCCAGGATTTGTGAAGGCAGGACATAGTGGTGAACAATGACTTATTCATCAGTCTTTGCATTTTAAAGGAAAAAAAGTGCATTGATATTTTACTTAATTCAAATTGCATGCACCCCAAAGGAAGAAATAAACACTATTTTTTAAATTTTTGGTAAGAAGACGAGAATTTCATAATTTAGAACAAAGTCAAACACTTTTTCAAGGGCTGAATTAACACTTTCATAAACAGAGGGCAGACAGTGAAAAAAACAGTGGTGCAGTTGTTTCATTGAAATAAGTGGGGCTAGCATGTCTGGTGGTTTGAATGGGGGGGAATTAGATTTTCTAGATGATTTAAACCCAAATTAAGATCTACAGACTTGCTTGTTTTTTGTTATTCTGAAACACAATAGGAAATACATCTGTTTTGGTGGAGTTTGTCACTGAAATTGACCAGTATAATTTAAAAAAATAATTTGGACTTTACCAGTGTTGGATTGCCAACTCCGTCCAGACTTGCCAATGTTGATGTCTAGGCAATTAATCAAAATAATATTCCATCCTACTAACTAATCAAGGTGAACCTACTGAATTGTGTCCTATTAGTTGAGTCATTTAAAAATTCACTGTCTAAAGCCACTTTGTCCCTTTCATTCAGTTAGTTCCTTGTCCCTATACAATAACTTGTTGCAAAGGAATCCGCTGACTATTCTAAAATACAGAAATAGAATAGGAATGAATTACTGGTGAAATCTGAACCGGTTTACTATCGGTTCGCTGGCTGCGCATGCACAGTGTGCACCACGCACCAAATACAAGGTGCACATGTGCAGTGCACACCAAAAGGAGGCACGCAGTAAGTAGAACAGCACATGAGGGGGGGTGATCAGCTGTGGCACGCAATCTTTTTTTTACTTTTAAAAGCATTGCTTTTAAAAGTAAAAAAAAGCCTCTGACGATCGCACTGCTCAGCTAGGATTGTCAGAGGCTTTTTTTTACCTTTTAAAAGCATTTTTTCTATATCCCAGCTGAGTTGCTTGATTGTCAGAGGCTTTTAAAAGCATTTTTTCTACAACCTCTTCGGCCGAAGAGGTAAAAAGAAGTAAAAAAAAAAAATGATGATTGCGCGACTCAGCTGAACATGTTGGGGGGGGGCGCAGGGATTTTTGCTACTGGTTCTCCGAACCACCCGCCTCCATTGCTACCAGATCGGGCGATCCGGTCCGAACAGGGAGCATTTCACCCCTGGAATGAAGTCCTACTTTTTTCTCTTCTTTACAAATAATGCAGGTTTAAATCCTGTGTCTACTATTAAAGGCATAGTATGAAGTAGAATTGAAAAACAAAATTTATTGATTGTTAACTGGTCACGACAGAACACTTGTTGCTCCCATTAAAGAAAATGCAACTTTTGCATGGTGGCATTGTGGTTCTAAAAATGAAAACTCTCTGTACATGCATTTTTAAATATATCATTTCAGATATTATAATTATGATAGAAATGCTTGTTGATTCTTTTTGTTGCCTGCTATTTGGCTTTGACAATCACATTCCTAAAATCTCCAAGTTGAGTTTAAATGCTGGTAACATCATGAATGCATCCATGTAATTTCTTGGTAACCATTCTGAAATTATTGGCAGTTCATATATGTTTAGAATTATTTAACTAATAAATACTAACCAGTCCAACTTGCTTAACTTTAGAGCTTTGGCTAGGTCAGTCGGTCAGTCTTGCCAACTGCTGAGACAATCATCTTTTTCTTCTCTGTAATACTTAGTACGTAACTTTGAACAAGTCAGGTACTTTCAGTCTCTCACTTTAGAGCAATTATTAGACCATTACAAAGGTCACAAATATATGCAAATTTGGGAAATCTTCAGATTTCTTCTTTAAATAAGTTATTACAGAAATATTTCTGTATATGTGAATGTGCCATGTGTTTTGGGAAACAGTGAAAGAAGTGAGAACAATTGCCTTCAGACATTGTGGGTGCTCCATTACTGGACGCTCTTAAGAAGAAATAGGACAACCATTTGTCTGAAATGATATAAGGTCCCCTGCTTAAGGGGATTGAACTAGAAGACCTCCAAGAGTCTTCTCTTCTCTTCTCTTCTCTTCTCTTCTCTTCTCTTCTCTTCTCTTCTCTTCTCCTCCCCTCCCCTCCCCTCCCCTCCTCTCTTTCTCCTCTCCTCTCCTCTCTCTTCTCCACTTTTAGTAGCATACAGATTTTCAAAAAACCATTACTGTAGGAGAAAGTTTGATTTAGCATAGAACAGGCAAGAGTTCTAAAAGCTCTAGTTTCTATCCACAACATTTTTTTCATATGTCAAGATAAGTTAAAAGATGAGGCTTCAGTTGCATGGTTGTGGCCATCATCCAGACTTTTTTGGTCCATGCCCCATCTCGTTGGCAAACCTGCAGTGTTGCCTAGATATCCATAATTTTCCATGAGAGAAACAGATGAAGACCTTGCCTGGATATGCTTTGTGTTAACGAAGATAGATAAAATCACCCAACAGAAATGCAAAGAAATAAGGCATACCATATTACATTTCAAAGTATAAGTGGGATGCTTTTTGGTTATATGGAATAGAGTATTTGCTTTGTTCACAAATATTATTTTCTCCATTTCTGCAGTCATCTGTTACTTCTGTTTCAGACACTTCAGCATGAATTGGAGGAACAATCAGTCCCAAAGCATACGTGACTACAAAGCAAGAAAATGTGTCATAAACAAAGCCAATCACATTTACCACTGAGGTAAATGTCATTTGAGAAAGCAGGGAGGGATCTCACAGAGTAGAAAGATGAAAAAAATGACCTTTGTTCCCTCATAAACGTATTTGAGCACCTTCTCATTTGAGGAAATTGGTTCCAAAGACCCTGAGAACTGAGATTTTCTAAAGCTTTGAATAACTCTGTTGATTTTTCCTTATGAAAGAAAAAAAATTGTTCAGAGGTTTTTTTAAAAAAATATCATTTTAAATAGCTGGGATTTTGTAGCAGACATAGTTTTCCAGGATATACCAGGATGCTGCTCCACACCATCTCTTCTCTCCTCCTCCTTTTTGACTTCTTGTGTTCAGCTCTTGGTTGGTCAGAACCAAGACTGCGGGAACTGGTCTAATGAAGAGAAGGATCAGGGGTGACATGATAACAGTCTTCCAATATTTAAGGGACTGTCACAGAGAA